GATCCCTCATAACCCATAAGCCCCGCCCAGAACTCATACCCAAATCGTAAGTGATATGAGTGGTCACTGTGTACCCAGTCTGTAACAAAGTAACAAAGGATGTCAACATGAACTTGTTACAGAAGCGTCGCTCGTTCTCCTACCCATGTGTTTATTTTAACATGGCACTCGGTCCTCCTTGTCTGATACATTTCGTTTTATTGTCACCCTTGTGCAAAATCAACGACAAAATAAAAATTACAAACAAAATACAAACCAACAACAACACCAACAAAGACAACATAATGGGGCTACTTTCGATTGGGGCCTCAGATGGGAATGGTTTATTTTCTTCATCTTGATCAGTCCTGCCTAAGACGGCCACCTGTCTTATACTTATACGGCCACTTTTCTCCTTGACAATGGGTGGCCGTCTTACACAGGTTTGACTGTATATGTTTTTTGACCATTTTGATTTTAATGTCTTTCATTCCTCTGTTTTATCTCTTTTTTTTCCATTTTCTGTGTTTATCTCTTCAACTCAAATTGTTTTTGTTCAAAGTTTAGGAGAGAAAAAGGAATGGTTGGCAATTTATGGGCATCAAAATGTTGCTAGAAAATGAGTAATTTCATTCGAAACATTTTTTTTCTTTTTTGTGGTTCACCATATCAGCCAAGGCCAAACAGAGTTAATCATTTTTCTTGTAACAGGGACAACTTATGTTATCACTTTTTATTTCTGTACAGAACATCAGCATGAGTACGACCACGCGAAGAATTGGGGAAGAAATCTACTACCCAAAGTCATCCAAAGTAACAGAGGTGGAGAAGATCCTCGCAGGCCCGTCCCTCAACGAGAAATTGAAGGATGGCCTATTTCTCCGCAGCAGCAATAACCATGTCCGATTCTTGTCTGCGCTGATTATTTTAAAAACTTTGTCAAGAGGTCAGTGACTAGAAACTAAGTTTATCAAACACTCTAAACTTTGGCATAGAAGATTTAACGATTTTGGAGATGCTATACCTCTGGGACTTAACTCATTCGCTACGTATTATTTTCGGCTTGTGGAAGAATTTTTTTTGGGAGGGCGAAATGAAATGATGACTAGTGCGCAGTT